ACTTAAAAAAAACAAGGATAGTTTAAGGGAGCTTTGGGGCAACATGATATGCAACAATATTCACATCACAGGGATACCAGAAGGAGAAGAAAAGGAGCAAGAGATAGAAAACCTATTTAAAGAAATATCAACAGAAAACTTCCCTAACTTGGTAAAGAAAAAAGTCATGCAAGTTCAGTAAGTACAGAGAGTCCAAACCAAGATGAATCCAAAGAGGCCCACTCCAAGACACATCACAATTAAAATGGCAAAATCTAAAGACAAAAAGAGAATCTTAAAGGAAGCAATGGAGAAACAGCCAGTGACATGCAAGGGAATGCCAATGAGACTATCAGCTGATTTCTCAACAGAAGCACTACAAGCCAAAAGGGACTGGCACAATGTATTCCAAGTAATGAAAAGCAAGGACCTGCAACCAAGAACATTCTATCCAGCAAGACTCTCATTTTAAATGGAAAGTAAAATGAAGAGCTCCACGGTTAAATTTTTTAAAACGGCAGAAGGAGTACATCTGTATCAAACCAGCATTACAAAAGATGCTAAAGGAACTACTTTAAGAGGAAGAAAAAATAGAGAGGAACACAGGTACAAAGGGAAAAAATGACGACAAATAAGTACCTATCAATAATAACCTTAAGCCCTGGCTGATGTGGCTCAGTCGACTGAGCCGCGGACTGCAAACCAAAGGATCGCAGGTTTGATTCCCAGTCAGGGCACGTGAGGGGCAACCACACATTGATGTTTCTCACCCTCTCCTTATCCTTCCCTTCCTCTCTCTCTAAAATTAAATAAATAAATAAAACTTTAAAAAATAACAATAATAACCATAAAGGTAAATAGGTTAAATGCTCCAATCAAAAGACATAAGGTAGCTGAATGGATAAGAACACATGACCCACATATATGCTGTGTACAAGAGACACATCTGAGAACAGAAGATTTACACAGGCTGTAAGTGAAGGGATGGAACAAAAAAATTCCATGCAAATGGACATGATTAAAAAACCTGGGATAGCAATAACTATATCAGACAAAACGAACTTCAAAACAAGGGCCATAACAAGAGACAAAGAAAATCACTACATAATACTTAAAGGAGTAGTACAACAAGAGGACATAACCCTTGTAAACACGTATGCACCCAATATAGGAGTAACTAAATATATAAAGAAAATCTTGGAGGACTTTAAAAGAAAGATCAATAACAATACAGTCATTGTTGGGAATATTAACATCCCTATCAAAAATTCACTGTTAACAATGTATAGATCTTCTAGACAAAAAAATCAACAAGGATAAAGTGGCCTTAACAGTCTAGATCAAATGGACTTAATTGATATTTACAGAATGCTGCGTTGCAGCAAAGAAGCAATATAAACATTCTTCTCAGACACACATGGATCATTTTCAAAGCTAGACCACATTGTATAACACAAACCAAGCCTTAAAATTTTCAAAAAAAATGAAATCATATCAAGCATCTTTTTGGATCACAATGGCTTGAGACCTGAAACCAAAATCAAGGAAAAAGCTCAGAAACATTCAAATATATGGAGGCTGAATAACATGCTATTAAATAATGAATGGGTTAACAATGAGGTCAAGAAAGAAATAAAAAAGTACCAGGAAACAAATGAAAACGAACATACCACAACCCAAAACCTATGGGACACAGCAAAAGCAATTCCGAGGGGGAAGCTCACAGAAATACAGGCCTACCTAAAGAAGATAGAAAAATCTCAAATAAACAACCTAGCCCTCCAACTAAAAGAACTAGAGGAAGAAGAACAAACACCCAGTGTGAATAGAATGAAGAAAATAATCAAGACCAGAGTAGAATTAAATGACATAGACTAAAAAATCAATTCAAAAAAATCAAAGAATCCAGGAGCTGGTTCTTTGAAAAGATAAACAAAACTGACAAGACTTTAACCAGACTAATCAAGAAAATCAGAGAGAAGACCCAAATAAATAAAATCAGAAATGAAAGAGAAGTAATGACTGATACCACAGAAATACAAAAGGATTGTAAGAAATTACTATGAACAATATATGCCAAGAAATTGGACAACCTGAGCAAAATAGATAAATTTCTAGAAACATACGATCTCCCAAAACTGAATCAGGAAGAAGAAGAAAACCTGAACAGACTGGTAACAGCTTTTGAAATTGAAGCAATAATCAACAAAAACCCAGCACACAAAAGCCCTGGACCAGACGGCTTCACAGGCAAACTTTACCAAACATTAAAAGAAGAACTGACACCTATCATTCTCAAACTCTTCCAACTGATTCAAGAAGAGGAAAAACTTTCAAACTCTTTTTATGAGGACAGTATTATCCTAATTCCAAAACCAGATAAAGACACTACAAAGAAATAAAATTACAGGCCAATATCTCTGATGAACAAGGATGATAAAATCCTCAACAAAATATTAGCAAACCGGATCCAGCAATACATTAAAAAGGTCATACACCATGATCAAGTGGGATTTATTCCAGGGATGCAAATCTGGTACAATATTTGCAAATCAATAAATGTGATACATCACATAAACAAAATGAAAGACAAAAATCACATGATCCTATCAGTAGATGCAGAAAAAACATTTGATAAAATAGCACCCATGTATAATAAAAACACTCAGGAAAATGGGAATAGGGGGAGCATACCTAAACATAATAAATACCACATACAAAAAATCTATTGCCAACATCATACTCACTGGGCAAAAACTAAAACCATTTCCCTTAAGATCAGGAACAAGACAGGGGTGTCTGCTTTCACCTCTCTTATTCCACATAGTACTGGAAGTCCTAGTCATAACAATCAGACAAGAAGAAGAAATAAAAGGCATCCAAATTGGAAAGGAGGAAGTAAAACTGTCATTATTCACAGACGACATGATCGTGTACAGAGAAAACCCTATAGGCTGCACCAAAAAACTACTCGACTTAATAAGTGAATTCAGCAAAGTGGCAGGATACAAGTCGATGGCATTTTTGTATGCCAACAATGAACTATCAGAAAGACAAACTAAAAAAAAATCCCATTTACTACAGCAACAAGAAAAATAAAGCACCTTGGAATAAATTTAACCAAGGAGGTAAGAGACCTGTCCTCAGAATACTATAAACCAATGAAGAAAAAAACTGAGGAAGATACAAGCATATGCGGTGTTCATGGATTGGAAGAATTAACATCATTAAAATGTCCATACTACCCAAAGCAACCTATAGATTAAATGCAATTCCTATAAAAATACCAAGTATGAAATATGCAGAAAATTTTGCATATTTCACAAATCTAGAATCTTTTATTGTACTTGCATTTGTTATGTTAAATTATGCAGTGTTATATACTAAAAATGTATACAGAAACAGCCCTGGCTGGTATAGCTCAGTGGATTAAGCACAGGTCTGCGAACCAGAGAATCGCAGTTCAATTCCCAGTCAGGGCACATGCCTGGGTTGCAGGCTAATTCCCTGCAGGCCAGTTCCCAGAAGGGGATGCATGAAAGGCAACCATACATTGATGTTTCTCTCCTTCTCTCCTTCCCCTTTAAAGATAAATAAATAAAATCTTTAAAAAAAATTTATACAGAAACAAAAAAAGACCCCAAATAGCCTCAGCAATCTCGAAAAAGAAGAACAAAGTTGGAAGGATCATTCCATTAAACTATACTACAAGTACAGTGACAAGGTCACTGTAATCAAAACAGCCTGGTACTGGCATAGAAACAGACACACAGATCAATGGAACAGAATAGAGAGCCCAGAAATAAATCCACGTCTTTATGGTCAATTAATAGTTGACAAAGGGGACACGAGCACACAATGGAATAAAAATAGTCTCTTCAATAAATGGTGTTGGGAGAACTGAACTGGCACATGCAAAAAAATTAAATTAGACCACCAACTTATACTATACATCAAAATAAACTCAAAATGGATAAACAGACTTAAATATAAGTCATGATACCATAAAAATTTTAGCAGAAAACACAAGCAGTAAATTCTCAGACTATCTCACATAGGAATATTTTTGCCATATAAGGATGTGGAAAAAAGGGAACTCTAGGGCACTATTGGTGGGAATGCAGACTGGTGTAGCCACTGTAGAAAACAATACAGAATCTCCTTAAAACATCAAAAACAGAACTACCTTTTGACCCAGCAATTCCAAAACACCACTTCAAAAGAATATATGAGCCCTTGTGTTCACTGTAGTGCTATTTACAACAGCCAAGATTTGGAAACAGCCTAAGTGCCCATCAGTAGATGAATGGATTAAAAATAATGTGGTTTTTACATAATGGAATGCTGCAGAGCAGAAAAAAGAATTCCTACCTTTTGCGATAGCATGGATGGAAGTGGAGACTATAATGCTAAGTGAAATAAGCAGGTCAGAGAAAAACAAATACCATATGATCTCACTTATAAGAGGAATCTAATAAACAAAATAAACTAATGAGCAAAACAGAACCAGACAGAATCACGGAATAAACTAATAGCTGTAAGAGAGGAGCAGGGAGGCAGACACTGATTGAAAGAAGGTGAAGGGATTAGTCAAAGAACATATAAGGACCAATTGACATGGACAATGGTGTGGGGATCAACTGTGATAGTGGGGAGCAGGCTGGGTGAAGGTGGAAGGAGAGGGAAAAAACTGCAACAATTGTAACAGACTAAACAATAAAACGTTTAAAAATATTTTATGGGAAATAGTATCTTTAAAGCAATTAACTTACGAGCTTATCAAAAATATTTGACAGCAAAAATACTTGAAAAGCCAAACAACAAACAGAAAAACATCTGCCAAACACTGCATAATTTAACATAACATGAATGCAAGTGCAATTAAAGATACTCTTCTTCAAACAGGTTGTCCATATTGGTACTTCTGTATCACATGAATGATTCCTTGCCCATTCCCACACCTTCACTGAACACTTGCACAGGTTTATTTTTTAAATGCAATAAAATGCTATTATACTCACGAAATTGCTTCCTCTCTGTTTTCTCCCCAGGAAAAACAGTGACCAAACTGAGAATCAGCAAACTCATGAAGTCCCCCAGCAGCAGCAACACTGAAATAACCCCAGACGTTCTTATTGCTGCGGAAATTCAGTTCCTGAACTGTTCCTGAGCTGGGCTTAAAACCCTGTTAGAGAATGAAGAATATGAGAGACCATGCTCCATTTCTGAGGAAGAGGACACTTATATATTTATTGTTTAGGCTCTGTGTTAATCACACATAAGACAGCAATGACGCACGAAAATCATAAAGGCTTGAAAACCAACGTCCAGTGCTACTGAGGACTCTCGACAGTGATTACAGTAGGATGAAATGACCAATAAAGTGGATATCGCTTCTTTGTTTGCTCTGATGGAACCTCTATAAATTTCCCTCTCCAGAGGAAGTCCCAAAATATTTCAGAAGTATAGCCCTCAGGTACCATCTTAATATTAAAGTTCACTGGGAAAAAACCTTTTAAGTGATGAGTTACCTCATCTGGATTTTCACTAGTGATCCGAGCAGCAATAACGTGGCCCCTTGGGCAAGGAACATGAGCAGAATTTTCAAAATCAATGGGAGCATCACCCCAGGGAGATACCCCATACATCATACGAATATCCTTGATTCTGTATAGAGGGATCCCCATGGCAATCTGAAAGGTAATAAAACACACATCACTCATTTTCACAGTACTTGCCTTAAAATGTGGAAGCTATAGATTACCTGCAAGATTTTTCATTTTAGTAGCCACCACCTAAAACATCCTATTTTTATAACTGTATTATATAATTATTAGAGAAGAAACTCTAAGTTACTTAAAATAAAATACGTCACTACAGAAGTTGCTAAATACTTTCCACTTCTAAAAAAATTCCCCATATTCCTAACGCAATACATATAAGTTTCCCTCTATTGTCATTTCTCCATCAAGGGATCAGAATAAAAATACCCAAAGGAAGAGTCAATACTAGTGGCTATCCAAGTTTAGATAGCTAAAAAGCCCTAAATATGTCATAACTATCTGATAATTATACCCACAAACAATTTGAGAAAATAAATAAATCGAGTAAATAACTCTTTAGTCCTTAATAGGAACCCAGCAGGGGTTCTCAATATGAGCAAAGACTATGTTAAAACAAATACTATCAAACTTCATCATTAGCTATTTCTGCCTCCCATAACATCTGTTCCCTGGGCTGAACGGGGAAAATAATATTAACACTAAGCATTTTAAACATTATGAAAATAAATGGGTGAGGCCAGTGTTGCCTAGAAAAACCCCAACCACCACTCTGATGTGGAACTGCTTCAATACACAACACTAGTAAAAGGAGAAGAGGCCAATTACAAAGTTGTAAAGTTTTGTATAATTAAAACACTTAAGTAAAGCATATTCTTTTTAAAGTTTCTATCTAGAATGACAGCTTTTACCAGACATGTCTAGCTAAGAAATAGAATAGTATTCCTAGATTCATACCACATTAGGAAAAACAACCCACACATCACAACCCACATTAGCATGAGAGATGAACACTAGATGACACTCAGATTGGAGGTGCTCTCCTATCAGACAGGTTAAACCAGTTTTTCAGGCCTCTCTGCCATTCTCTAGGCAACTCTTTGAGCCAAGATGAGGGTGATTCACCTGGAGTTGTGCTGCAGGGAGATTGACATCAGCCACCATCTCTGTACAAGGGTGCTCCACCTGTAGCCGAGGGTTTAGTTCCAGAAAGTAGAAGCTGCCATCCTGGCTGTAGAGGTATTCCACAGTTCCCGCACTCACATAGCCAACCATTTTGGCAAGTTTCACCGCACACTCAAAGAAGAAAGATAGGAAAACATGAGTGTCTCACTTTGTCCAGCTGGTGGACCACTGTTTATCTATACAGCTTCTCCCTGACTCAAATATCTAATGTTTGTGAGAGCCATCAAAGGCTGTTAGCCACATTAGAGTGAATTTCACCCTCAGATTATTAGAGAAGATCCTGGACAAGTGTGATGAACTCAAATCAAAGCTGGAGAAAAACAGTGTTTTTCATTTGGGATCACAGACAACCTCATCCTATAAGTACATGCAGGTAAAAAAAAAAAACAGTGGCAGATTTTTCACTGTGTCCTCATTTCTAGTATTCCGAGCATTCTTCCTAAAAGATGACTGCCCAGCTAGAGACTAGATTTCCCAACCTCTCTATAGCTGGTGACTAAGTTTTGACCAATGTGAGGTTAGCATTGATAAGTGATATGCATTATTTCCTGAATCATGTTTTAAAAAGAAATGCTCTGTTCCTCACTGTATAGAGGGATCCCCATGGCAATCTGAAAGGTAATAAAACACACATCACTCATTTTCACAGTACTTGCCTTAAAATGTGGAAGCTATAGATTACCTGCAAGATTTTTCATTTTAGTAGCCACCACCTAAAACATTCTATTTTTATAACTGTATTATATAATTATTAGAGAAGAAACTCTAAGTTACTTAAAATAAAATATGTCACTACAGAAGTTGCGTTTTGTTCCCTTCTGTGGACTAAGACACGGTCATGACAGTACCAGCCAAGTTTCAGCCATGCAGCTGAGAACATACAAAGAATACCTGAACCCCAACATGGCCTCAGAGAGCAGAACTGTCCCACCAGCCCTGCACAGCACACCTCAGATTATGGTGGGAAAAATAAGCTTCTATTTTATCTGGGTAGAATTTTTTTACCTCTTCATTATAAAAGTTTAACCTACACTTTAATCAACATAGAAATTATTAAGTTCAGGTAGAATCCTGCTATTTACAAAAATTAAAATATGTATTGTTGGCTTAGCAATAGGGTACTGGGTGGCTACAACACAGATACTGCAGACTAGGAACCGGTGGCCTCCTTGTTAGGCATAATAAAGCTTTTGCTAAACTGTCCTACAATAACTTGGAACGTGAACAACACACCGACTAAGCCCTAAGAAAAACAGTTAGAAAAAGTCAGAATGTGAAAAATCCAACTGCTTTCGTACTTCTAAACCAGGAAATGAGATTTTCACTCTAAAGCACCCCTGTGTCAAAGATCAAATAAAAAAGTTACTACATCAAAAAATCTTGGGCTGTGGTTACTCCCATCTGAAGCTGACTAGAAGCAAATAGTCCAGAAACACACTAAATTTTGAAGGAAATATAATTCTAAACAAACCACAAACCTGGCCTTCAGGAACCTGTACCTGACAATTGGAATAACCTTTGTGACCCCAATCCTGCACCAGCAGGAAGTCAACTGAAAGCTTGGCCAAAGAAAGCATAGTCTCCAAAGCCCAGTGACAGAGAAAACTACACAAGGAAGAACTTTCCAGAGAACAAAGCCAAATGCCTTAAGGCACCATAGGCAAGGTGTTTACTTTGAGAGCAGAACCAGTAGCAGTCAGAGGGCTAACTGGGGTATTATTCCACCACATGGCAGGAAATCATCAAAATTCCTGCCTAGAAGGATTTGATAACTGCTATGGAGCAATGATTACTATATATTTTTTTCATTCCTCTTTTTTCCAAATGGGAGTTATCCTGCTTCTATTCCATCACTGTATATTGGGTACATGGGGAAAGGAGGAATGACAAGGGGTAGATAATTTGTCTTTTAGGTCACTGGCCCATGAAAACCCACATGCACATTTGATAGAAAGGATTATATATACCTAGTGATCTTGAAGTTTGAGCTGTCTTCTTTGGGGAAGGCTAGGTATATTCTGAAAGTGGGGAAGGATAATGGGTAGCCAGAGGATCAGACTGAGGCACAGATTATTAACTGCCCTTTAGTAATTTTTCTTTATGCCATCTATTTAATAGAATCTCCTAAATTTCAGCTTGGTATATGGCCTCTCAGTTAGTGACTCCAATTCCTAACATCCCTTAAAGCTAGGTGTGACTGTATAACTGAATTTTGTCCAATAGAATGTGGGCAGAAGTGATACATGCGACTTGCGGATCACATTTTAATATGCTTGCCCTCCATGTCCTCTTCCCTCCCTGAAGGCTACAGTGTGAACATACTCTTGGGAGCTAGCTTTAATCATGAAGATGATGACATCCTAGGGCAAGGGTTGGCAAACTCTTTTGGTAAAGGGTCAGGCAGTAATTTTCAGCTTTGTAAGCCATACAGTCTCTGTCACAACTACTCAATTTGGTCATTGCAGTGATAAAGGAGCCAAAGATAAGACATAAATAAATTAGTATGGCTGTATTCCAATAAAATTTTATTTGCAAAAGTTGAGATGGGTTGGATTTAAACTGCAAGCTGTAGTTTGGTGACCCGTCTCCTACTGAATGGCAGAGTAATAAATCTAGGTCCCAGGCATCAAACAGAAGACTATATATTTAGCTTATTTGGAATTCAGGAGAAAAAGGTTACATTTCCAATAAGCTGAAGACTGAGTCGCAATTTCAGAAAAGACCCCTAAACTACAATTATTTCTAAAGGACCCTGCGAGACTGCTAAGATTCTTACCCATACAAAAATACAGAATACATCGATATTATACATATTTAAAGAACCTTTTAAAAGATAATAAATTTATGCCCGGCTGGTGTGGCTCAGTGGATTGAGTGCCAGCCTCCGAACCAAAGGGACTCAGGTTGGATTTACAGTCAAGGCACATGCCTGGGTTGCAGGTCCCCGAGTAGGGGGCATATGACAGGTAACCACACATTAATATTTTTTCCCCTCTCTTTTTTTTCACTCCTTCCCCCTCTTAAAAATAAATAAAATCTGTTTTTAAAAAGAGAGATAATAAATTTAAATTTGTCTGAGGACTCAATGATAATCTGTCTAAAAAAATAAACTATCTGCTTATCATGAGCTTGTTAAAAAAATGAGAATAAAAATCTCAAAATATCTCTCTCCTTTATTCCTATTCAAAAGAGTACACAGATTTTTCTTCAGAACTGTTAACTAATTTAGAGCTTGAAATGTTCATTGGCAACTCTCCTAGAGGAAAATAGCAGAATTATTTCTTCTAGAAAAGAATATAATTTTATCAAAGATCCAGAATCACTGAAAGAAATTCCATTATTCTCAGATTGGTAAGCAAACTGAATGCGTAAGAAAACAAAAATTAGAGCTTCTCATATAAATACCTGTTCCATATGTTCAAATACTGCTGGAGTAGCAATAGCAGCTGGTGCCTCTTCAATAATCTTCTGATGCCTGCGCTGTACAGAGCAATCGCGACCAAACAAAGAGATAGCATTGCCATACTGATCTGCCAAGATCTGCACCTCCAGATGACGAGATTGCTTTGCTAGTCTCATCACAAATATGGGAGAGCCAGGGACTTCAGCTTGAACCTATATTAGAAAATAAAACAAAACAAATTTTTAAGCGGTAAGCATTTTTTTAATCGTGATACACTGCTTCAGTTTCAACAGGCAGATGCATAGAAGTGTCAGGAACCATGTTAATTAATAGAAGTACAAAAGTGAATGAAGTTCATATCCTCATCTATTTTTAAGAGACAGCATTCTTAGTTATATGATCAATATTAATTAATGAGTATGAAAAAGCATATGAACACATTCAGTGTGTTACAAGGGTAAAGAACAAAATTTTTTGAAAACACCCGCACACATTCCACAAAAGGGCAAAGGACTGCCGTCAATTACCAGCAGCCAAATGTACAACTTGCTCCAGACTAGATGCTCTCTTGTTCACATTATGGCTCTGGCATATGTATGGTGTTGTTGCAGTCAGAGAACTTTCATTTGCAATTTTGAAGCACACTGTCACTGGATATAGAATTCCATGCTGGCAATTATTTTCTTCCACTATTTCTACTGAGATGCCAGGTATCTATCTTACTGTTACTCCTTTGAAAGTAATCTTTTTTTCCAGCTGCGTTAAGATTTTCTCTTTCATTATTTCTTTTTATGGAGTAAAGTGGCAGATTCACTCAAATAAGCTTAAATGTAGTTTTCTCTGCATTTGTCCTGTGGGGCTCATAGTGTTTTTGAATCTGTGCTTGGTATCTTTTATCAGTGCAGGAAAATTTTTAGCAATTATCTCTCCAACAATTGCTTCTGTCCCATTCTCTCTCTTCTCCTCTGAGGCTCAAAGTATAAAACGTTAAATAATTTCACTATATCCAATATGTCTATTATGCTGTGTTTTGCTACAAAACAAGTCATCCCAAGATTCAGCAGCTTGCTTAGGATGTCAACCATTTTCTTTGCTAATGATGCTGTGTTCATCTGGGAAGTTCTTGCCTGGGGTCACGTGTGTGCATATCATCACCTGCTGGCTCAAGTGGGGCTGAATGGACTCACTCAAATGGCTGATGACTTGTGTTGACGGTTGGCTGGCAGGTCTTGGGAGCCTTGACTGGAACAACTGATTTCTATTGCAAGTGGCTCCATATCTTCCAATATGCCACAAAGTTCTTCAATTGGACTTTTTTAATGCAGTGTTCCAAGAAGGTGGGGGCAGAAATTATAAGTCTTCACAAGCTCTAGGCTCTAGAACTTAAACCCAATCATGCTGACTCGTCTCTCTTTTGTTAATTCCTTAGCATAAGTGACCAGATGCATTCAACAGATATTTTCAACACTTTGTCTACAAGATCTCCTTAACTAGGTTCATGAGTTCATTAAATATTATCTTCCAGTTTACCTCAGGCAATTGTTCCATCATTACAGACAAGTTACCTTTCCTCCAGACTCTAATAATAATTACTACAATTACTGCCTTTCCAGCTTCCACTAACAGTATGTTCACCATTCCCCCACCATTTATTAACAACCTTCTCACCATTTCTCTAGCCTCTACCTTTGAGCCAGTGTGAAAGCCAATGCCACATATTTTACTCTTTTTTTATGACAGAATCACACATAATATAATTTCTGTATTAGTTATCCATTAATGCCTAACAAACTACCCAAAATTCAGTGACTTAGGACACTGACCAAAAAATTCGGTGACTGAGGACACTACCTGCGCTGGGCTCAGTAAGGCAACGCTGCTGATCTTGGCCTGGAGCCACTCGTGCAGCTACAGTCATTTGGCCACTTGAATGGTGTCAGAGGGTCTAATATGGCCTCACTTACACATCTCAAATGTTGCAGTGACTGTCAGCAAGTAGGTCTAGGGAATCTCAGCCAGACAACTAATCTCCATTTCATGTGGCCTCTCTTTCTCCAGAAGGCTGGACTGGGCTCTTCACATGGCACTCTGGGGCTCATTCTGAAGGGCAGAAACTTTAAGACCACTTAAGGTTTGCTGGGAACCTATATGCCATTTCTGCCATATTCCATTGGTCAAAACAAGCCATTAAGGTCAGCCAAAATTCCAAAGGTGGGAAAAGAAAAAGAGAATCACAGTGTAAAGGAACGTGTATATATGGATGAGAGGAGTTATTATTACATGTTCTTTCCTGTATTTTCCATTTTTTATCTTTTCATGCTTCAGTCTGAATTGTCTTCTGACCTATCTTCTAGTCACTAATTCTCTCTGCAATTGCGTCTAATATACTGTTAAATTCCTCTTTTGAGTTAATCTTAGTCACTGCATTTTCAGTCATAGAATTTTTATTTCTTTCTTCTTTATGGTTTCTAGTTTTCTGCCAAAATTCTCAATCTTGCCTCTAATTTTCTTGACTTCATTAAATATAGTTACTTTAAAGTCCTTGTTGTATAGCTCTATTGTCTAAACTTTCTGTGGGTCTGTTTCTACTGTCTTTATTTTTCTTGACTGTTAATCATGTAATTTAATATGCTGCTCATTCTCAAAAGATTGCTTGATATTGTATTTGAAAAATTAACAGAAATAATTTGAGGTTCTGGATGTTATTGTTCTTTGGAGAGAATTTATATTTGCTTCCTATTGGTGGCTAGGGATACTAGCAATCCTGGAATACCTTGCTTGAGTCAAGGGTTCAATGTTTTGAAATTGATATTTAATCCCTGTAAAGGCTGATTTATTTCTAGTTCATTTTTACTTAAAAAAAAAAGACTTTTATATACTTATTTTTAGACAGAGGGGAAAGGAAGGAGAAAGAAAGGGAGAGAAACATCAATGTGTGGCTGGTTCTCACGTGCCCCACCCTGGGAACCTGGCTCACAACCCAGGCATGTGCCCTGACTGGGAATCGAACCAGTAGCCCTTTGGTTCACAGGCCAGCACTCAATCTACTGAGCTACACCAGCCAGGGCTCATTCTTACTTTTGAGATATAGTTCCTTCAAGATCCCAACCCAAATGCGAGAGGTTTCCCAGGGCACCCTACTCAGCAAGTCCTAAAGTCTAAATTTTGTTCTTTAAGACTTGTTAGATACTCTAGTCTGCTTTTCAACTACTTCTTCTCAAACTAGATGATATCTCTAGAGAAAAAGTGGCTTCAAATGCCAGGCTCATCTCTTTAGGTTTTCCTCTTCTTCTATTTCTTAGCCCATAATTCTTCACTGCCTTGAAAGGTTTCCAATGCCTTATCACCATCTTTTTCTTTTTTTTAAAATTTGCTCCGGCTTTTCTAATTTGTTCTCAATGAGAGACCTGGTTTTAGCTTTTTAGTTAATCATTATTGGAACTTCAACACTCACATAAAATTTCCTAATCTTAGTGTTCTAGTTTCTTCAACTATTTGTTTCCATAGTAATAAGTAGTTTTGAAATACCTACTAGAGTTAACTTTTTAAAAAACGAACATGCTTTTTCTTTTGCTTCTGAAAGCAAAAGGTATTTTCTTTACACTCCATAAGGCAGTGAAATACCTACAAAATTGGAATTATTATAGAAGGTATGTAAAGAAAAAAACAAGTAATATTCCAATTCCAACATTGAAAATAAGATAATGTAGCAAACAGTATTTTTATCACTTTCTTTATTTGAGTATATCAAATCATGGAAGACCTAGTTTATAGACTTTTTCTCTAATTTATCTCATGACAAGAAAGCTGAATGATTTAAAATTTAAAGGGGGGGGTGAATAAAAGATGGCCAAGGGTACTAGTAAAGGATGGTGCAAACTAAAAGACTCTTAGAAAAATAAAAAAAAGTGAGAAGCTAGGAGAGTGAAAAGGCCAGAGTGTGACCCAATTTGCCTTTTACTGACATCTTTTTCTGGGTATTGGTAGGAGAAAAAAGAGTGAATCAAGTATGTGAGGGTAACTCTGAGGACAGGGAAAAGGAGATTCCTGTCTCCTGATTCTCTAGTATTCTCAAAAGAGTATCTCTTTGGCTTCCAAAAGTCAAAGAGATGTATCCACTGAGGTGCAAATCAGATGGGTAGGCAGACAGAGACCCTAGGTTTAGCTCTCCTGAGCTACCCGCAGTTCTGATAGAACATGAGCCTGCCACAGGGTTCCTGTGCCAAGGTGCGGTGGCCAGGCAGGACAGGCTCGGGTGCTGGGCCAGCAAGGTGGATAAAACACATGGCAGAAGCTCAGGAGTGAATTCGAACTAAAGTAAGGTGAAGTCAGTCAGAGAGTCTGGGCCTGACCAAGCCAAAAGCATCCAGATCAGAAGTTAACCATACCACATATGTTGTAACAACAGCAGAAGAGGGGCACAAAAATACAGAAAGTCACTGACTCTTCATCGCACAAAAAGTCCTATGAGCCACCATATAAGGAAGAGTTATCTGAGAAACTGATGACTTTTATATAAGAGAGATTCATTCCATTTTCTGGACTTCCAAATGATACTGTGAGTTATATCATGTGTCACTGATATACATGTTAATTCAAACAAAGACAACTTGTACTCTACCTGTCTGAAGAGGTTAGGGAAGTCATCCGCATTATTGACTTTTCTGATTCCCTTTCCTCCTCCTCCTTCTGAGGCCTTGATCATTACTGGATACCCAACTTCCTCTGCTGCCTTCAAGAAGAAAGAGGAAAATGGAATGGTATTAGTAGGGAAGGAGAATGTCAGCATTTTCTCCCTTTAAAAATGCTATCCTTTGGTTGGCTTATACATAGCAAAATAGAAGGGGCTTGAAGATATACTATTATGTAAAAGGAATAGAACAATATTTTTAGTATTAGGTTGAACCAAAAGAAATTGCCTTTATGTTTAAGTATGATTACATATGCATTGATACACTTACACATTTAAATGCAAAAAATGTTGATAATATACATTGGTGGTGATTTATAGAATTATGGGTAGATATAAACTTTCATTTGTACTGTACATATTTCTATATGGATGGAATATCTGATAGTATGCAAATATTCATGTATTACCCATAATTTTTATTTAAAAAAGACATAAGTAGTTCATTTAATATAAGCTGTATAGTTTCTGATAACATAGAAGTAAAACTCAACAAATCAGAACTCTCACGTATACGGAATTTTTTTTCTCATGCAATCTTTTTTGTACAAGATAAAAATAATCAGAGAGCAAAATAAAACTAGTCAGCAAACTAATTTTTAACACATGCTCTAAATGTGCTTTTCCCATTACAGTATTTTATAATGACCAGATGATTATCCTACAATTTTTTGAAAAATTAATTATATATCCATTAAGTAGGGAGCTGACTAAATCAAGATATACCCATATAGTTAGAACACTATGCAATCATTAAAAGGAATGAAGTGGTTTTTACATTTAATGATATAGACAATGTCCAAATTGTGTTGTTAAGGCAAAAAGTAAATTGGAGGAAAAGTTAACCAAAAGTTTAAAATAATCAAGTCATTCCTTCACCAAAACATTCCAGTCTTTTCAGGTTTACATTAAAGCAATATCTAAAAAATATGTCACCGGAAAAAAAAACATTTCAAATTGTAATTTGTATCAGTAGACTAAGCATGAAAATCTTTCAATCACAGCCTCATTTCTTCCAAAATTAACTTATTTGTTTCTATTCCTATAAATACAGTTAGCATGATGAGCTCAATCACTGGGTTATAAGTGATCAGAGACAGACAAAAATATGGAAAAGAGATAAAAAGTAGGATAGCCCACATGATTAAGTAAGAAGGTAGGCCTTTTAAAAATATATGATGGCTGTAGGCACAGGTCATTCATCTAAAATGTTAGAAGAATTTTAATGCCATCAGGAAAATGCTTTTACATATTAAGAAACAAGCATAAAATATATAGTAAGACCCTAATAATAATTATAAAAATCTATTAATTAAGGTCATCATTATTAATCTACAAATTGAGAATGGCTGGAAAAAAACGGGTAGTTTTATCATCTTTTTTTGGGCTTTCCAAATTTTCTACCAGATAACTTTTTAAATTCCTTTTTTACTTTTTTAGAGATTTCATTTATTCATTTCTAGAGAGGAAGGGAAAGGGGGAGAGAAACATCGATACGTGGCAGAAACATCTATAGTTGTCTCTTGCACATCCCCAACTAGGGACCTGCCTGCAACCCAGGCATGTGCGCTGCCCAGCAAACTGGCAACCTTCCAGTTCACAGGTTGGTGCTCAACCCACAGAGTCACACTAGCCAGGGCTCTACCAGATAATTTTATGTTAATAATAACCAGGAAAAAAGGAATTTTAATTGATAAGCAAAATAGCTAAGCTTCTACTCTTTTGCAAATTACAGCAAATAGTATACAGCATTTGTAATTCAATTAGAAATATTAATTCTTATTAAGGACATTACTGGATGATTAATTTAAATATAAACAATACATTAAAATTAGCTGAGCAGTCACTGTTTCTCTTGAATTTGTAACATACAAGTCAAACACTTGTATGTTACAAGTGTTTGTAAACTAAAATAGTCTCTTTCATCATCTACCTGGAGGCATATGTGATATTTCCAACTAGTTAAAAAGTGAAAGGGGAAAAAACTGCAGAGAACTATAAAGGAAAGATTACATTGAAGAAAGGATCTCCTTTTGTTCAGTTCATGTTTTTACATGGATGGACAATAATTATAGAGTGACACTTTCAGCCTATTGTGGTTCCCTCCCTCACTCTTCCCCAAGGAAAAAAATGAGTAAATTACATGATTGGTCAATCTGGAAGGAGGAACTGAGTGTCCATAGCTCAACCTCTTTCCTCTTTGGAATCGGCCCACTGCACAGAACCTATCCTCTTTGTTTGCTCTGAGTCATACAATAAGCTGAAGAGTAAAAGCTGTTGTTGTAGAAGGAAGTCTGTGGTTTTTAAGCACCACCAGTAACCAGTGAGTGAGCCAGTTTAACTGACATTCAAGTTACAAATGTGATTGTTGCTACAAACTTAAGCCATTTTCACCAACATCTCTCTATTCTTAATAAAGCTGACATATTGGTCTCTATCTGCCTGGCTTTTTGGTTCTGAACTCAAGCAGGGGAAAAGTGTATTTTTTGCTGCCCCTCTCCTTCCACATACCCACTAACAGGTGGTGGACAGGAGACTCAGTACCTCCTTAAAGCTCTGACATAACTACCTAAGAAATGTTCTAAGTGAGATGATTTCTTCAAAAAATTTTAAATTATTTTGTTATATGTGGGTCACTTCTTCACTCTATAAACTATACCTCCTGATCTTACAAGCCTAATGCCATCATCAAACAGGCTCCAAACTGCTATATTTTTTACTGTTATTGGTCAGTTGAAAGACATCACTTCCTAGAGTTATTAACCTACCTTTAGCCCATCATCCACATCCTTCACATAGCCTTTTTCATAGAGTTCCTGAGGAACATTTAAGATACGTTTTGAAAAATCATTTTCTTGCCAGTCCACACGAAGACCTGCAATAGATAACAGTGACTTAAATGCAGCTATAAAAGCTTCTGTTCTTGTCAACTTTCTGCTATACCTTCTTTAAAATCCTCTCACACTGAGGGTAGATGGGAGAAAGAAGGATGCCATAAAACCCCGATCAGTCCTTGGGGTTAAAGGTATTTATCTATAGCAGAACCTGACAACTTGCATTTCCAGTGTAAGCAGGACCTTACACTAGAAAAATCCGGGAGAAAAAGGAAGCAACTTTTAAAAATGCAAGGACATACAAGACCAAAAAACGCATGTCAGGCTTCTCACAGCAGGCAAAATACCTTCAATTTGTGTGTTCAGGCCTGCTCCGGGGCCAGAGATCTGGGAAATAATTCAATCTTTATGAGCCCTTGGAAATGGAAATGGAAGTTTTATTGGTCTCAGCAGAGTCATGATTCCATGCTCCCTGAATGTCCCTGTACTCAGCCACAAGGGAAATGCTATAGCCTCTCCATTCAAACAAAAACAAATTCAGCCTTTTATTTTAAACTGTTTGACCCAGCAGGTCTGGAGAGGTTATTGCAATCCCCCTGGTGAGCTAGAGTAACAAGAGTTCAAGTCTGTTTAACCTGAAGACAATGGTCACTCCCATTTGGAAGAAGTTTCAGAGTATATCTGCTTCCTGTGCTTGAGTACTAAAAACAGGGGGAGTTCATACTATTATCAGCTATAATAATTCACATGATACTCTTTGAAGAATGTGTCAAGAATAAATCTTTTTTTTTTTAACTTATCCTTCTGCATGCCTGGAAGAAAGGTTCACTATTGATCTCATGTTCCACATCAAAGACAACTAAGAATTTAAATGGCATTAAACAGGCAAAGCAAATCAATACATTGTGGGCTGACATTAAAAAAAAAACCAACTTCCTCTTAGGAAGGCATGTCCATGGTTCCCTGTCTTTGGACACTTAAGAATTGGAGGCAAAGAAATGTGGACTTGGAGAAGTCTGTGGCCAGTTATTCCCTGCAGGCTAAAGATCAACCACCCCACACAGAGGGAAAAAGAAAATACTGGCAGCCCTAACTAGTATGGCTCAATTGGTTGGGTGTTATCCTGCAAAGCAAAAGGTCACTGGTTCTATTCCCAGTCAGGGCACATGCCTGGGTTGCAGGCCCAATCCCCAGTGGGGGTGCATGTGAGAGGCAACCAATTGATGTTTCTTGCCCTCTCTTTCTCCCTCAACCTACCCCTTGCTCTAATAAATTAATTAATTAATTAAAATCTTTTTAAAAGATACTGGCAGGCAAATATTTAAGAGGTGGATTTCAGGTTTTCTTAGTGATTTAGGTCATTTCCCAGGCTAGTTCAAAGGTTTAATTCTGTCTAGGAAACCCATCCCTGAGAAAGATTCTAGTCTACCCAGATCAGATCCCAATCCACAGAACCGTATGAGTTTTCCCAGAGTTTCTCTAAATTAAATCCCAAGATAACACAAATCACAGTTTAGCGTCTGTATACCTGGTACAAAATTTATATTCCTAAGACATGATAAAATCATAGGTATATTAATTAAGCTTGGAAATACAAGACACAATTAATCAACCTGGATTCTATGTCTTATCAAGTATCCCAACATTTTAAATAAACTTAAGACCCAAGCCACAATCCCAAATATCCCACTGAACTTTTCTGCACTTCAAAATACAAACAAGAACTTGTTTCTTACCACTGCCACTCCAGGGAAGAGTTGGGATACCTGCAGTTTGAGCCACTATGGAAGATGCAATCTTATCCCCCAAAGCCCACATGGCCTGGCTTGGCGGACCTAAAAACAAAATAACACTTTGGCCTCTTTTCTGTCACATATATTTTGTCTTCCACGTAATTATTTTTGTATTTCTATTGTCTCCCCTACAAATCACGGCAATCATAAACTTGATCATGGGGATTACTATGTTTTAACTCATCTTTGTATCCTTTATAGAACCCAATGTACTATTAGTACACAGTAAGAGTTCAATATATACATTAATACATGCTAAAATAAATTCCTGACAAATCTAACTCTTGTTTTATCATCCTTCATGTTCAACTTTACCAGGTTAACAGTTATTTTTTAACCAATATCCTAAATTAAGGACTATAAAGTTTCAGTGTTCAAGTCTGAAACATAAATATTATACCTTCCTTGGCCTTAGGGGAGCCAAAAAGGAAGAATGAACTTTAATAGTGTTTACAAAGCATAATCGCCATTGTGGAAGGTCTCTGAGACAGACAGAAACACTCCGAGCCAAGTAACCTCTATTTCTCTCTCTGCTATAGGAGAGCAGAAAAGACAGAAGACTGAGATCTCACTTATAGGAACATAACCTATATGCTTAAATGTGAAGGTGCTGACGCACATTTAAGGGCACACTGCCAGGGTATCCTAAGTATTAAATATCTTTGCTACATAAAAATGTTTTCCACATGCTTTCTAAGGTTAATGGCAAAGTTTTTAAAAGCCAGTGTTTTGGAAACCAGAGCCTCCTCCATATCTCATGCAAAAGAACCTAGGGTCAGAAAGCACAACCAAGACGTAGACGCATAAGCAGGGCATAAGAAATGAGGAAGGGAAAAAAATAATAAAGATGTTACTCTGCGTTGGTGACTGATGAAAATGAGAGAATATTAAACAGAAGAAAAGCAGAATATAGAATGGAATATGGGCACAGCTGACAGAGAAACAGAAAGACAGGAACAGTATGCCAGAAAGGCTTACCCATGAAGGCGATGCCGTTTTTCAAAAGAAGTTCTGGGAGCTTGGGATTCTCAGAAGCATGACCCCAGCCAGCCCACACTGCCTACAAGGGAACACAATACGGTTCATTTATAAATTCATATATTTTTTAAAAACACGATAAACTGTATTGTTCTCTACCAAGACTGGACCCTATCCCATGAGGTACAATAGCTCCACAGCAGCCCAGTACTTAATTCAGCTGCTATGCCTAATTCTTGGCAAGCTCTTTGCAAAACAGTAAACAGTCCATTGTGGCAAAACCTCTGAAGAGGTCAAAACCAAGTTTAAATTGATATTCAGATCCAGCTAGTTTTGTTGCTCTTTAGGAAACTCAATTCATACTAGACTCTTTAGATCCTCTTTCAACTAGACTCTATAGATCCCTTTCTAGAAATACTAGTTTCCTTTCAGGTTTAATTACTTTAGCAACGCAACTCAACCTTTATACGTAGTGGTTGAACTGCCACACAAATCATACTTTTTTTCTTTTTGGGCTTTAAGATACTTTCTGAGTCATTGGGAAGAAATGACCTACTTCTACACCACCATATTCTGGACGAAGAATATTCCACTGAAAATAGGTAACATTTACTTACTCTAGTTGGTTTAAAGGTGAAATGGATAGAATAAATAATCTCTGAAAAACCCTTTACAAACCTGTTTGTATTGTTTACTTTATTTCAACTAAGTGTATCTTCGTATCTTTCCTTGTCTGTTATATTCCACATAAAGGCACTCATCAATTTTCAACAAAGATCCCTTCTATAAAATTAAAACTTCTTTGGATGTCCCTTATGCCTAACTGTAAAATGGCTAAACATGTTGGAGTTTTTTTTCTGTGACCACTTGCAGATTTTTGTGTTTATTAAAACAGTGAAGCACTGCAAACCATGAGCTGCAGTAGTTTCTTTTGGCAAGTATAAATATTAGTTCATATATGAACTATAGTGCTCAAGTTTAATATCCTTAAAGTGAAAACTTACTGTTTTTCCTTTCTGCCAAATTAAAAATTTTTCAATTATAGTCGACATACAGTATTATGTTAGTTTCAGTGTACAACATAGTGATTAGACATTTATATAACTTATGAAGTGACCACCTGATAAGTCTAGGACCCACCTGACCCCATAAACAGTTATTACAATATTACTGACTATATTCCCTATGCTGTACTTTATATCCCTATGACTGTTTTTATAATTGGAAGTTTGTAAATCTTAATCCCTTCTCCTTTTTCATCCATCTCCAACCCCCCTCCCATCTGGCAACCATCAAAATACTCTCTGTATCTGTGTGTTTGTTTCAGTTTTATTTGTTTGTTTAGGTTCCACATATAAGTGAAATCATATGGTATTTCGTCTTTCTCTGTCTGAGCTATTTCACTTAGTATAATACCCTCTAGGTCCACCCATGTTGTCACAAATGGCAAAACTTCATTTTTTTATAGCTCAGTAATATTCCATAATATATATGTACCACATCTTCTTCACCCATTCATCTATTGAAGGACATTTAGGTTGCTTCCATATTTTGGCTATTGTAAATGATGCTGCAATGAACACAGAAATTTGGTTTTAAAGGACACATTGGCATCTCTTACTTGCACTGGGATCCTTCTAGCAATATCAAGAATTAATTCCACGTTTGCATAGTTGTTGTTGTTTGGTCCTCCTGGCACTGGCACATAGTGATCTGCCATCTTAATGTACTCTGAAAATGCAAGCAAAATGATAAAGAACATATGCTTTATTTTCTGAGACAGAACAGCAGAGCAAAACTATGTAAAGGCCCATCATAAGTAACCAAACTGCATTAATGGGGTAATTTGAAGGCTCTGACTTTATTAAGTCACAGGCACTAATATGCGCTAATCTCATATTTAGGAAGCTCCTACACTAAAACAGCAGTTCTCAAACATTTCATTATGCAACCTTTCTGAAGGCTCTTTGTTATCCCTATATCAACAATAATGTGTCTGTCACTTAGAGGCCTATGTACAATTATTCTATTCTAGGAAAAGACTCTGGTTCTGACATCCTTTATCTTTAACCTGCACTATATTCTGAGAAAGCCCTTTTCCTGATGCAGAGCTAAGACAGAAGAGGGTTTGTAGCCTGGCTCAACAGGAAGCTTAGATACAGGAGTCTCCCAGGTGTTTGAAATGGTTTACCTGGAATGTTGGGAATAATAGGCATTTGAAAGAAACTTTAAAAAGATACCTTCTTTCCCCCCTTACTTCTTTTTCCCTCAGTATTTCCATTCAAATTTGTCACCTGATGTCTCTCTCTACCATTCTGGCAATGACTGTAGCAGAGCAGCTACAATGTGTAGAAATTGAACTAATAAGTACTTTATATATACATTATTTCATTTAACACTCAACAGTCCTATATATGATAGGTATTATCAGCACCAAGTTTATAGGAAATTATGGCTTGCAGCAATTAAATAACTTGCTCAAGATCCATCTCCTTCATATTTTTAACATTTCGTATATCTTGTTCTTATTAAAGGCTTTATGTCCTTCTAAAAGAAAACTCTACTCAAAGTAAGATACAAGGCCCTACATTTTGTTCAAAATAAAAATAGGTTTATAGCCCTGGCTGGTGTAGCTAAGTGGATTGAACGCAGGACTGTGAAGCAAAGGATCGAGGTTCGATTCCCAGTCAGGGCACATGCCTGGGTTGCAGGCCAGTTCCCAGCAGGGGACACATGAGAGGCAACCATACATTGATGTTTCTTTCCCTCTCTCCTTCCTTTCCCCTCTAAGGTAAATAAATAAAATCTTTAAAAAAAAACTTAAAAGAAAAATAGGTTTATAGTTCTCTTTGATTATAAGAGGGAAAGCATGCTAATTATAAAAAAATTTAAATAACATACCAGGATATAATAACACTACTTTTTAAAAGTCAAAATTATCCATTGCCTGCCACTCATAGATAATCAGTTCATGTTTTGATATCCTAGAAACCATAAATTGTTAACCAATTTAACAACATAGTGTGGCTCCCTTCCCATATTTATGACACAGATACTAAGAATTTTATAGATTTTCTATATAGAATATGATACAATAGAAACATTTATTTCCAATTAATATTAATATATGAATATGTTAATAGTTGACTAATGTCTCAATAGTCCATAATTCATTTACCCACTAACTTACTAGTGGACACATAGGTTAGGTTATTAATAATTTAGAAAAATATTAAATCAGTGTAATGATGAATATCCTTATACCACTGTCCAATTGTACCCTGAGATTATGTTCATAGAAGTAAAACTACTGGGTCAAAGGTTATGCACACTTTCAATCATTCAACCAGTTTAGACTCTCAGCCGCAACAGGACAACCTGCCTACACTCTCATCTACATTACATGTCACTGATCTTTTAAATGTTGCCAGTCCTATACATGAAAATAAACCCCAATCTACTATTGACTGGGGTTTGCATTTCTTTGATTACCACTGGTATCAAATCTATTTTCATATGTTTATTGTTCCTTTTTAATTCTTCTTTCATGGACTACCTGTTTGTGTTTTTTTGTTCATTTTCTATTGAAGGGTGCCTTTTTCTCATTTCAAAAGTAGAAACTCTTTGCTGCTAACACATTTTTCCAGATTACCATTTGTCTTTAATTTTTCCTCTTTATTTGCTAAATAGAAATTTTTATTCTTATGTAGTTAAATCTAACATTTCTGTAGTTCAGCAGCCCTAGATACAGAAAAAAAAGTAACTTTAGCTGCCGACCTATATCCTATACACACACACACACACACACGCACACACACAGAGTCTACAAGGTACTGCTTGCTGTCTGAACCAACAGCAGTTCAGAATTCTACACAATCAATCTTCTATTTTTGTTATTGTAGACACTAAAGAAAAGAGAAGGCCTGGAAAGTAGAAAAGAAAGCTTTCTAACTATGTAGCTTGCACTTCTCTGTCACCTCCAAGTTCCCACAGTTCCCACAACTACCATGACACTATTCCAGAGTATATTCACAAATAAATAAGAAAATTACCCTTAAAAGAGAATATACAATTAAATACTAAGGATTTCACTAATCATCCTCCTCTCGAACTTTTCCAGTAACTACCATGGAATAAAAATATGCAACCAGTCCATTATCCCTATTCTCACCTTCCCTTCACCTGTCAGTTTTGCCTGTTCCCCTCTAGTCTCAGAACAGGAAGCCCTCTCCTCATGTTAATAAGCAACTCTTCTATCTAAGGTTCCTTTTTTCATAATTATTTAAATTGGTAAAATACTTAATGCTTAAATTGGATTACAGGGATGACTGCACAATGGTATGAATTTACTAAAACTCATAGAAAAGCACACTTTTAAAGGGGTGACTTTTATGGTACATAAATTATACTCAATAAAGATATTAAAATAATTAACATAATACAAAGTTTAGAACAAAATGAAAAAATAAAAATCATCCAAGATACTAACTCCTTAATTCAATTACCACTGTTATCAATATGATAATCCTTTCTAGGGCTCTATTTTTTAAATAATGTTTAAAGAAAGTATACAGTAAAAACTCTAAGTTAAAGAGCTGTAAAAAAGCAGAGACACAAATAAAAATAAAAAGACCCCAAAATTCCACTAGATAACCAGTATCGGTTATACTAGATAACCAGTACTGCTGTTTTGGTATATCTCATCATACCTTTGTTTTCTGACTATACGCAATGTACTTTTTTTCCCTATTCTTGTATCTGGCTATCGATCTCCTTATGGCCAATGTTCTTCTTAGAAATTGTGATGAACAGACACTACGGTGTCTGTCCTCATGATCGAAGTCTCCAGATATTCATACTTTAAGTCATCCCCTCTCCTTCAGTGTAACTTGCTTCTGGCCAAGAAAATACAGCAAATATAAGGAGATGTCACTTCCATGATAACATTATATAGGAATCTAACCTATCTTAATACTTTCCCTTGCAGGCATTGGGGTAAAAGGCAGTCATTTTGGAATGGCCCACATGACAAGGAGCCAAGTGTAGCCTCTAGTCGCCAGTTAAACATTCAAGCCCCTGATCTGAGATCCCACAGAAAACTGAATGCTGCCAACAACCATGGTGCTTGAAAGCAGATCCATCCAAAGTTGAGCCTCAGATGAGACAGCAGCCCCAACAACAACTGACTGCAGCTTTGTGATAACATGAAGCCAAAGACCGGCTAGGCTGTGCCGTGACCTACAGAAACTGTGAGATAATAAATGTCTGTTGTTTCAAGCTTCTAACTTTGTGGTAATACTGTTACACAGTAATAGATAAATAATACAGCAATTTCTATCTGTACTTTCAATAAGACGACATTAATAACCATTACTTCTTAGGCTTAGTCTTAACATCATTGTGTCACTATAGAGAGAATATACACAAACCAAAACAAGTTTTAAAAGATAGCTATTTAAAAAGTTAATGTTGCCCTGGCTGGTGTGGCTCAGTGGATTGAGCTCGGGCCTGCAAACAGAAAGGTCCAATTCCCAGTCAGGGTACATGCCTGGGTTGCAGGCCAGGTCCCCAGTTGGGGGCATGCAAGAGACAACTGATTGGTGTACCTTGCATCTCTCACACATTGATGTTTCTCTCCCTCTCTTTCTCCCTCCCTCCACTCTTTCTAAAAATAAATAAATAAAATCTTAAAAAATTTTTTAAATAAAAAGCTAATGTTATCTGTGGGTACTCTACCTTAGAGATTACGCTTTAGTGATAAGATATGGAGAGGAAAGTCACAACCTTTCAGCTATCCCAAAAGTCTTTATCTACAACTACTCTCAGCTGGAGGACCACTGAGAAAAGAGAATATGCAGAAGAGATTGCAGAGTACAACCCACTTGGGTCCCAAGAGGTCTCTCCCTCAGGAAAGGGGGAAAAATGCACTTTGGTTCACAATGGAAATAGTATTTCCTTCCAGACCTTTCCACTTACATATTCTAAAGTATGTGGCTTGGCAAATACTTGACACTTGAAAGGCATACACCTGAAAAACCAAATCAACACTTTTGTTAAATTCCTACCTATCTCTACGTAGAACACGGAATCTGTGTTGAGGTTAAATATGGCACAATCACTTATGCCTATTATTAACACTTTTTGAAAATTATTATTTAGTGATTTGAGAGAGACAGAGAGACATTGATTTGTTGTTCCACTTATTTATGCATTCATTGGTTGACTCTTGTATGTGTCCTGACCAGGCACCAAACCCACAACTTTGGTGTATCAGGACAATGCTCTAACCAACTAAGCTACCTGGCCAGGGCATTTATTATCACTTTTTTTTTTATTTTAAGATTTTATTTATTTATCTTTAGAGGGGAAGGAGAGAGGGAGAGAAACATCAATGTATGGTTGCCTCTAGTGCATCCCCTGCTGGGAAATGGCCTGCAGGGAACTGGCCTGCAACCCAGGCATGTGCCCTGACTGGGAATCGAACCGCAATCCTCTGGTTCACAGTCCTGTGCTCAATCCACTGAGCTACACCAGCCAGGGCTATTATCACTTTTTAAAAGAGAGATCCTTTTAAAAAGATTTCACAGAAAAGCCATTGGTTTGGGAATTCCCCTAAGTTACCATTCTCCTACTTAAAGGCTGAGCTATTCAGTGTTTTTTGCTCAAAAGTAATGCTTTCTTAATGGTAATAACTCACCTGCATTGGCTTTAAGATCCTCAGGTGTGACCATGACGACAAATCGGATTGCGCGTTCATTTCGAAACATCTCATAAGACCACCGACGGATAGAACGCATGCATTTCACTGCTGCAATGCCGTTGTTGGCAATAAGAACCTGGGAGAGTGGAGGGATGGGAATTGGAGAGGAAAGTAGAAAAGGCGAGCAACGATAAAGGAAAAGGAGAGAGAAAGTTTTTGTAGATCCTTCTCTGAAAAGCCAGATTTTCCACAGGAATTTGTATTGCTAGTCTAGGCAGTTAGGAACTGCTCTGACATGATCAAAGGATACTTTAAAACGTTAGCTAAGGAAATACTTCCTACATGCCCACTCAACCTTACTCCTTTCTAACTTCGTTTCTTGAAGAAAAAAAAGCACAGCTACTCAAATCTTGTGAGTTTTTAAATTATCCTACCATACCAATCACTAGGGAACGGAAGAAGGCAAACTCAGAGATGAGGTATTATCGAATAAGGAATGGAGGAAGACTCAACAGAGCAGCGTCGTGCTCCATTCTCCACTGCAGCACAAGGCGCAGGACCCGGAACATGTGGAAGAACCCTGCACCAACCACCACCTCTCTCCAAAACGCTGAACCCCAAATGCCTTAGAATTGTAGACACTGCCTCAGAAAGAACGGTCACGGAAAAAAAAGAGTAGAGAAGTCAATGACTCTGAGACTGCTCTGAAACAAACCTTTCATCTCTCTACCTGTCTTACAATCATGTCTCCAAGGATAACAACTAGACTAGGAGACGTATAATCTATCTTTATTGGAAGACTAACAGAAAGACACTGCTGCAGCAATACTTTTAGGGGCGGGAATGTAGGTCCACATCCTTTAATCTTTTAATCACTGTAAGCTGTTTCAACCAAGCCATCCTTTCAGCTCTGACGTGGTTTAGATAAAAGTGACAACAGTTACTCATAACATTTAAAAACACTTGAAATCTCTTCAAGTATTTCATGTAGTACATTCCCTCTAAACATCTCAAATACTTGGTGGAAGCCCGTAAGTCACATGTATCAAACTGTTTAAACTTTCCGTTCTGACACTCTCTACTACCTCAGCTCCGAATCCAACGCCACAATATTATCTTCGTACCACTGCCCCACAAGCTCACCCATTTCTCAGAGCCTCTCAGATCAGTGCAGCCCAGCTCTGTAAAACCACAAGATCTTTTAAAAAGAACTTTATGAACGCTGCTTCAACATCTTAACTAGCTGTGACTAAATTATCAGTGGTTAATACACATTATAAAAAATAGTAAAATTATTAAATAGAATGCTAGGGGAAATAGGATAATTTCACATAAAAAGGAAAGGTTTCTGAAAGTCTAAATATCAGTTTTGAGCAAATCTAGACAATAAATTGAGGCATTAATCTCATGTACTTAGGAAAAAAATTTAGCAGATTATAACTTACCTTCTCAATCACATTATTCCCCCCAAAACGAGTAACGAATTCGGCTGGAGAAGCTACAGTGAAATCCCTCTGTGAGTCTATTTTCTTTCGGTCTCGACCTTGCTTTACTAGGTGCAAGCCAGACATGCTGGACCTATAAAAATAGAGAAACCACATAAAGTCTATCAGTAGGATTTCTTCATGCCATCTATCCCCCCTAGAGACCTGCTTTTCACTGCCATACTATAACAGCTCTTCCAACTGCACCCTTATGTAGACTGCATGCTGGCAGACCACATACTTTTTAAATAAAAGAGAGGGGGAAAATGTGTGCTTGCAGAAATGTAAGAAAAAAAAACTGTCCCTGAATAATAACAAATAATATTAAAAGATAGGGAAAGGTTGGGATGAAATGAGATGATATAAATAATAGACTCAGCTGTTAAAGCTGAACACACGATGAGCAAGGCTGTTTCTGGATCATGATTCTGGCATATGGATGACCTTCACCTCTGTATCACTACCCTCCATCTTTCTTATTAGCTATTAACTGCCTACCAAATGGTTTACTTGTGTACCCCACAGGTGTTGCAAAATCAATAACTCCAAAACCAAATTCTTTACAAGGCAGCATAATATACCATATTTCATCAATTTTAAGATGCCCTACAATAATTTTTTTAAAGTCTCTGAATTTGGTTTCTATCGTACAACTGATTGTATGGTTTATTTAATTGGCAGTACTTTTTTTTCCCTCAGTGGTACAGACCATACTGGCACCTCTAACAATCAATGGTGTTTTAGATTAGATGAAATATAGTTCTTGAAACAGCACAAACCTGGGTTTAAATTCCTGATCTGTCTACTTAATAGTTCCAGTGAGCTTTAGCAAATAATTTAACCTTGCTCAGCTTCAGTTTTCTCTTTGTAAAATACGCAGAGTATTTACTGTTCTAGATATTTACCTACTGTCTCTCAGCTCCAAGCCCACTCTTTTATGCTCTGCTCTGTGAAAATAGGGTTAAGCCTCTCTGCAAAACTGTTCAGTTCTGCCAATGGGAAGGCAGGGGGGTAAAAAAAACAAACAAACCAGACCTCTTTCGTGCTTTCTAGCTATTACCAGTACTGCTCCACAGAAGCAGAGAGTTAACGCTAGCTCCTAGCACCTTCTGACCTTCCTAGGAAGAATCCAGGAGCAGCAGGCTGTGGCTCCCTGGCAGTCAGTAAGTCCTAGTCATGCTCACTCCTTCTCTGACTACAGGCTGCCTGGGCCTAAACCGCCTGTCAGGCCAGGTCTCCTCCTCAGAGAGCTGAGTAGCAGTTACTTAAAGCTTACTCAAAGTGGTCCAAGCACCAGCTGCCAGGGCCCTCCTCCAAGTTCCCACCTCTTCTTCCTTTTTGTCCTCCCAGGCCTAGGGGTGATAACTGCTTTCTATAGGTATTAAGTCTGGGTTACCTCAACATCCTTTTTCTGTTCTTTTACTTCTAACATGCAAGTAATCAATTCTCACTATTGAATGTCCTGCTCATCATAATACCTAATGCAGTTTTTCTTTTCTTGACTGGACCTTGATAGGCCCTCTGAGTGGGTATTTTGAGGATTAAATGAGATAATGTACATAAATAAGGTCTTTCATACACTGTTTGATAAACAGCTATTTTCTTCTACTTTTATCTTTTCCTTTCTCCTATACTCTAACCTTCACCCTTCAGTAATTTAACTTTTCAAAATAGAAGAACATGATTAAAATCGTCCCACAAAGAAAATATCAGGTCCAGCCCTGACCAGTGTGGCTCAATTGGCTGGGAATTGTCCCACAAAGTGAAAACTTGCTGGTTCAATTCCCAGTCATGGCACATGTCTGGTTGTGGGTTTGGTCCCCAATTTGAGGCATGCAAGAGGCAACCACACAATGATGTTTCTCTCCCTCTCTTTCTCCTTCCCTTCCCCTCTGTCTTAAAAATAAATAAAATCTTAAAAAAAAAGAAGGAAATACCAGGTCCAGATGGTTTTAAAAGACAAGTTCTATAAAACTTTAAAGTGCAATAGTCTACCAGACTTCCAGACCACAGAAAAAGAAATAAAACTCCCCAGCTAGAGAACACTGATGTAAAACCAGACAAACATGTTATATGAAGGTAAAAATTCAGGTCCATTTTATTCTTGACTACAAATGCAAAATTCCTAAACAAACTAAATAGTAGGGTATCAGTGTAAAAATGAGCAACTATTAGTAAAAAATGTGTTACTCCATGACCAAGTTGAGTTTTCCCCAGGTATACAAAGATGGTTTAATTTTATTTTTTAAATTATTTTTAAAAGCCTTTATTTTTTAATTTTTTAAAGATTTTATTTATTTATTTTTAGAGAGAGGGGAAGAGAAGAAGAAAGAGGAGGAGAGACCTATCAATGTGTGGTTGCTTCTTGTGCACCCCCTACTGGGGACCTGGAGTGTAACCCAGACATGTGCCCTGACTGGGAATTGAACTGGCAACCCTCTGGTTCACAGCCCACGCTCAATCCACTGAGCTATACCAGCCAGGGCTAAAGTTGATTTAAGTTTAGAAAATCCATAGAATGTAAAAAACTGTGTTAGATTTTCTAGTAAGTGCAATAAAATGGATTAAAAAAAATAGAGGCACCTTGACTGGTGTAGGTCAGTGGATTAAGCATGTGCCTATGAAGCAAAGGGTCACCAGTTTGATTCCCAGTCAGGGCACATGCCTGGATTGCAGGCCAGATGCCCAGTAGGGGACACATGAGAGGCAACCACACACTGATGTTTCTCTCCCACTCTTTCTCTTTCCTGTCCCCTCTCTCTAAAAATAAATAAATAAAATAAAATAAATTTAGAAGCATTAGGATTACAAAGGAGAAACTGTCATTATTTGGGAATGATATGATCATTTACATGGAAAACACAGAAGATTCTGCAAAGTATTAGAAATAATAGACCTTAGTCAAGTGTCTAGCTATACAATTAATATACAAGAAGTCCAAATATATAGTAGACTATACAGATTACAAAATTAAAAACAAATCATGAAGTTAAAAACAACTAAAATACACAGTTATTAAGAGATACATAAGTTACACTAAAACTATATAAACAGGAAAACAAAAGAATGTGATAATTATGTGATTAAGAAAATTGATTATCTGGGTGAGGAGGCAGGGAGAAGGGTCAAGAAGAGTCCATATTATTAAATGTAGGTGATGGCCAAGGACATACCTTTGTTTTAAGGTGGTAGGTTTCAAATTCTTTCTATATTATATTTTTTAAGTAACTAAATAACTAACCAAATAAATAAATAATAGTGGGCCACACATGGACCAATGAGTGTGCCATGAACCAATGGTTATATAATTCTATACAGCTAAAGTTAAACACACACATGCTCCTCAAAGGTCAGCTTTTTGTTATTTAGGGAGGGAGGGAAGAAATAGAGGACATATAAACCTAGAATTAGTAAGGACTTGCTTGAGTATAAGAGAAAAAGGGAAGCCATGTCTATACCGATGAAATTAAAGTGGAGAAGGAATTGGCTGTAAGATTTAATCAATAGTTTAGAAATACGATGGATCTCAAAATCTTCACCTCTCACCTACCTTTTTTGGGGAAGCTATTAAAGAATGGTGTCTTCTAAAAGGATGGAATAAGCTAAGAAGAAGGAAGACAAGGGATGCAAGAAACAGAGGATCCAATACAGACGAGATGGGAATTCCCTGGATGACTGCTCAAACTGGAAGACAGACTGCTTCAGGAAAAATGTGTTCTTGGAAAAATGGACAGATCACCCGTTGTATTTAACCACAGAAAAACAAAATAAAAGTCTGAGTGTGTGTATAATATACATAAAAATATATGGGTATGTTTGCTTTATATACATACATATATAAAACAATGTTGTACATATGCTATGTATACATATGTAAATCATTCTGATTTTATACATATAATTATATATCGTATATTTGTGTGTGATATATCACATATATGACACATATGGTATAATATATATATTTATATCATATATAAAATCAGTTGCTTTTTACTTATTTGACTCTTAGTGAAGTTTCACTTTGTTTTCCTTCAAAAGGGTAGATGAGGCAAATGAAAAGAAAAAGGATGATTGTTCTAAAGACTAATTTTACCAACTCAGTGTTTTCTGCATGGTTTTGTTTTTGCCAAAATCCAGTTCAATTTTCATGTAATTTAAAAAATAAAACCCTTTCAAGATTGCAAAAACAAGCAAACAAACATAGAAGATAAAAGAGGGGCGCTGAGGTACTGTCATCAAGCAAATCATTCAGGTCTCTATGTTCCCCTCTGCTGAAGGGGAACAGACCTGCACGAGGCTTGAAGAAGGCCAAGAAGCCTGACTCATTTCCTCCTCTGCCTGTGTCCTCAGCAGGAAGAAGGAAGATGCCAGGGCAAGTGAGCTTGGCACCCTTAACAGCTCCAGGCTGGCTGCACAAGGTCACGTGCCAGGACAAGTGCAGCAGGTACCTTTTGCAGTCCCAGAGACACATTTTAAAGAAGTTTTAAACTACCTTCAACAGGGATGCTACATCCTACACAGAAGTGATGTCTACCTTCAGGAGAGTTGAAGAGACTTTACTCTTGAGACACCAGCCAAATCCGGTGAGCAAATTTGGCACAGACCGAGTGAGATCCCTTAATGAAATTAACAGCACAGCAAGATCTGCACAGGAGTGCTTGTTTTCAACATAACTCCAACTATCACACATGGACGTAGGTACTTTGGTTCAACTTCTGAATGTTAAAAAAAGTTTAAGAAATCCAGCATCAAAGATGAGAATTTTTATTCATTTCCTTGAAAACAAATTTTCTCGAGAGATACAAAAAATTATCAAATCAAATTTGACAAATTCTGGGGCTTAACTGCAATGCCTTACTGTTTTTTAAAGGTATATGTTGCCTAAATGTGGCACCCTAAAACTTACCTTTGAAGCATGTAATATCTCATCTCCTTATTCTCCTCTGCAGAACCCTCCATATCACGATGACAAAGGAATGGAAGCTTTTTCTTCAGATTTCAGCCTTGTAAACACAAGCCGCAGCTCGTCCTCCTGTTGCAGGTGCTTAAAACCCAGGAGGACAAGAGATACTGTGCCTTCTGCCTACTTCT